CTCCTTCCTAACCTGGAGCCGTCATGGATCTGTGGCTGTTTTCATGCAGCCGGAGGGAACTATCGCTTTCATTGCATGTACACATAGGACTTATGTGTTCCTGTGTGCTTTGCTGTATCCCCATTAGAGTTATATTGTGATAAACTTCACTGAACTGAGCAGCAGGTCTTTATTTGGATCTGTGTAATTTGTAGCATAAAAAAAAATTGGTGTTGGAAAGCAGCAAGAGCAGGGCTGCTGCACAAAAGGAGCCGAGGCAGGAGCTGATGGTGACACCAGCGCAGTCACCGACCAGGGTGCTGTGCACAGGATCTGAATGCCGGGACTGGGCGCTTGTAATGTGCTCTACCAGCTGTCCCTGACCTGGCGAGCTCCTTCTAAGGGAGTTTGCTCCGGAATGAAAGGATCTAGAGCCAGGATGCAGGCCTGCCCGAGGGATGGGGCTGTAGGCAGGTTTGCCAATGGCATCGCTTGAGTAGAGACTGAAGGACTCAGGCTGAACGTAGGTGTAGCTCTTGGGCCCATGGGCAGAGATCCTGGCTGAGGCTGGTCAGGGTCAGTGCAATCTACAAGTGTCTTCAGGCCCCGACAAATCGATCCAAATTCTGCCGTTGCTTTTTGCTTGGGTATTTCACCAACTTCGATGTTTGCGATATGGTTTGAAAAAAACAAATCCACAAACAGTGATGGTTTTACCATGCAAAACTAAGATGCAGGAGCAGTTATTTAGACCTGTAAATGCGAAATGGAAGTTTCATTCCTGTTTGTTGTTTTTTCTCATGGCACATCATAGTTTTTATGCTGGTTGAGGGCATTGGTATATCTTTGGTTTTGAAATAATATGAGAAACTGCTTGTGTCTGCAGTATTATTGCAGCAATCTAAGCGGACATATATATCCATCAGGGCTGAAACAATTGCATTCCTCAAGGGTCGGTACCAGGACTGGTGCTGTTTAATATCTTTCTTGGCAACACAGACGGTGAGATTCAGCCCACCCTCAGCAAATTTACTCACAACACTGTGTGGTGTGGTCGACTTGCTGGAGGGAAGGGATGCCATCCACAGGTACCTTGACAGACTTGCAAGGTCGGCCTGTGCAAACCTTGTGAAGTTCAACAAGGCCAAGTGTAAGGTCCTGCACCTGGGTTGGGACAATCCCAAGCACAAATAGAGGCTGGGTGATGAGTGGATTGAGAACAGCCTTGTAGAGAACTTGAGGGTTCTGGTTGATGAGATGCTCAACATCAGTTGGCAATGTGCACTCACAGCCCAAAAAGCCATACATGTCCTGGGCTACATCAAAAGAAGTGTGACCAACAGGTTGAGGGAGGTGATTCTCCCCCTCCACTCTGATCTCATGAGACCCCACCTGCAGTGCTGCGTTCTGCTCTGGAGCCCCCAACAGAAGAAGGACATGGAGCTGTTGGAGTGGGTCTGGAGGAGGGCCACAAAGGTGATCGGAGGGATATGAAGACAGGCTGAGAGGATTGGGGCTGTTAGCCTGGAGAAGAGAAGGCACCAGGAGACCTTAAATGAGCTTTCCAGTGCTTGAAGGGGGCCTATAGGAAAGATGGCGAGGGACCCTTTATCAGACTATGTAGCAATAGAATGAGAAGCAATGGTTTTAAACTAGAGCAGGATAGTTTTAGATTAGGTATCTGGAAGAAGTTCATCAGTATGGGGGTCGTGGGGCACTGGAACAAGTTGTCCAGAGAGGTGGCGGATGCCTCATCCCTGGAAGTGTTCAAGGCCGGGTTGGATGGAGCTTTGAGCAACTTTGTCTAGTGAGAGATGTCCCTGCCCATGGCAGGGGGCTTGGAACTACATGGTCTTTAAGATCTCTTCCAACCCAAACCATTTGATGATTCTATACTATGACTACTTAGAACATTTTACATTTACCCTACGTCAAAATAATAAGTTGGTTTGTGGTTTTTTTTCCCCTTCTTTTTTATGTATTCCTTTTTATAGGGAAATTCAGTCAAGCCAATTTTGTGAGTGTCTCTGAGCTGCCTCTCTTCATGAAAGGATGAAAAATATATGTAGTGATTATGTCTCAGTCCTCTGATATTTTTTCCACAACTTCTTTGGTCTCTGAGCCCCTGAGCTGTTGGCTTAAAAATTAAGTTCACATTACCACTCTTAAAAGCAAAATAAAGCTGATTAGTGGGTCAGAAAACTAATTAATTAAAGTAGGATTAAGGTCATAAATATGTATCTCTAACTGCATGTTTGGATATAATTATTTCTGGTTATCTTCAGGAGTTTCTGTTCCTTAAGGAAAGGCAATAAATTAAAAGAAATATTCCTGGAGTAATTTGCTGACTACTAAAGCATAGATCCAGCTGCTTTTCAGTTTGCCTTGCACAGGAGCAGGTTTCTGGGATTTTTTTTCCTCCTTCAGAGGAGTCTTCCCTGTCTCTGCAGGAGTTCTTGGGATACAAAGCCGAAGTTCTGCACAGGAAAACTTCAAACTTTGCAAATTGGCTTTAAGGAGTAAAACTATTCGATGTCTCAAGTGTAAAGGTGATTGAAAGAACTCCCCCTACTCCCACAGAACTAAAAAAACACTGAAGTGCCATGAAATGCTTCTTTCATTAACTGCTCTCTTGTGCACGTGCTGCTCAGGTACCTGTGTGCACCTTTGTGCCCATTGCAGCACGTCAGGCAGTTGCAGAGGCGGATGTAGCTTAGATGTATGTACTACATACATCATTTACAAGCAGCATGTGCTTTACTGCAACTCTGACTGTTTGCCACTGCCTTGTGACAAGGAGGATGGGTGCGCTGAACCTGTAGAATTCGACAGCTACGGAAAAAGTTGAGCGTTTTGCTTTTAGCTGCGTTACCCATCCTCTGGCAAATGTTAGAAAGCCTAAAAGTCTGGAAACAGGCCAAGGGAGAACTGAGGGAACAGCTAGTTTGTCAAATAAGACAGAATTACTCTCTTTAGACTGGGAAGAAGATACACCTTGCAGTAGTACTTGAAGAGTGTTTTGTCTGAAAAAACTCTCTTCTGCGGAAGTAGTTTAAGTGATGGAGTATTTTCTTCTTCTTCATGGGTGATTCTTGGAAGTTATGGTGCTAAATAATGTTTATTTGTGTTTTTTTTTTTAAACAGATAACCCTTTTATATTGAGAAGACTTTTTAAATTGAATTTACTTTCTTCAGGTCTATAAAACTGCTACCTTTAAATGTAATTGAGATGTGTGACCAGCAGGTCAAGGGAGGTGATTCTGTCCCTCTCTCTCCCCTTGTGAGACCCCACTTGGAGTACTGTGTCCAGCTCAAGAAAGACATGGAGCTGTCGGAGCAAGTCCAGAGGAGGGCTACCAAGATGGTCAGAGGGCTGAAGCACCTCTCCTACAAGGACAGGTAGAGAGAGTTGGGTTTGTTCAGCCTGGAAAAGAGAAGGCTCTGGGGAGACCTTATAGGAGCCTCCCAGTACCTGAAGGGAACCTACAAGAAGGCTGGGGAGGGACTTCTTACAGGGGCTTGTAGTGATAGGACAAGGGGTAATGGGTGGAAGCTGCAAGAGTGTAGGTTTAGAAGAAGGAAGAAGTTCTTTACCCTGAGGGTGATAAGACACTGGAACAGGTTGCCCAGGGAGGTCGTGGATGCTCCATCCCTTGAAGTGTCCAAGGCCAGGCTCGATGGAGCATTGAACAGCCTGATCTAGTGGGAGATGTCCCTGCCATGGCAGGGGGGGGGGAACTAGATGATCTTTAAGGTCTCTTCCAACCCAAATCGTTCTATGATTCTTAATATAGAAAATCTCTACATATGTCGTTGTTTATACCCATGGTTTGGTGTGATGCTTTTACTCAAGCTAATCAGCAGCGAGGAACAGAGATACACTAGAAACAACTTGAATTTAGATACTTGTAGGGCAAATAGAAATTGCATATCTCTTCCTTATCCAAAAAGCTTTAAATTTACCTGGAGACATGCACATCTCCCCAGCTTGGACTTGATGTTTTCCAGATAGACCGGGAAAAGCTTGTTCAGGCCCTTTGTGCTTGGAGGTGGAACGTGTCTCTGGATGTGGTGTAATTTGCTGAAGAAATGATACCTTGCTAGCACTTTGCAGAATTTCCAAATACCTTTTAGCAGCTACATATTTGGAAAGCTCAAGCTATTTTCTCATATGGAAGAAATCTTTAACAGTCAGTAATGGTTTAGGAGTAATTTCAGGAAGGGTGCAATTTTTATTTACGTAAAAGAGTAAACCCACTACAGTTCTCTGGCATTTCTGTATGTACATTGAGAATCATGCACGGGTTTAAGAACATGCTTGCTCTCTTACCTGTAAGAGTAAAAACAAATAAACCTGCTAATTAACTCTGTCTAGACCAAGGGAACTGTTGCCCTTTTCTTCTCCTCATGAAGAGGGTGGCCCCAAAACACCCAAGTGCTGTGTCAGAAATCAAAGCGTGTCTTCTTCCTGACACATTTCCAGTGTAATCTGTTTATGGAAGTTTCGAACTGTAATTTCAGCCCCTCATGCCATGGGAATCATAGTAGCTTATTTTTTGGTTTTTTAATTATTGTTGTATTATTCTTACATTATTTCACTTTTTGACAGTCCATTGTGTGAGAGGTTTTTTCATCTGGTTAAGCTGGGTTTCAGAGGGAACTTTTAAGATAAATGACTCGTTCTGCTGAAAGTACTAGTGATAGTGATGTTATTTTGCCTTATTCAGTTAAGATCATATGTAATCGCATATTTGTATATTGTTTGGGATTTTCTGTCATTAACTCCCTGACCTATGATATAAGCATGCTGAGAAACTACAACGGATTCTTGAAGTTTTTATTTTGGGCACAATAGTGTGGATGGCTATTAAAAACTGCATATATTTTCTTTAAATAAAATCAAAGATACGATAATCTGTATGTAAGCATCAATCTTAACACTGTTTGAGCCCTTTCTTTCAAGTAGCTAGTTTTTTCTCTTCTTGCAAAAAAATGATTTTCCATTTGTTTTTAAATTTCAGAAGTCAACTTACAGCATTTTCATGTCTGACTACTGGTACTGGAGGTTGATCCCATGCAAAGAAACTGGAACCTGCAGCTGCTTTGCAACAGCCAACCAGTCTGATGAAGAGAAAGAAGAGGATACAAGCCATCAGGTTGTGGTGTCAGATATCATGCAGCTTGTGATAGAGAAGCAGGAGGTGCCAGAAAGCACAGCAGGTGGGAAAAACATAGTGTATTTTGAAAATTGTCCAGCTGGCTGCCAAATTGTGTTAAGAAGATGACTGATGGCTTGAAGAATTTTAGCAGTGGTGTCTCATCACTAGCAATGGAGTAGGGCAGGGAATCAAGGAATAGCTAGATATTAACTTGGAGGAGGGTGCTGTCCCCACTAAAACAAGCATTTAGTACCAGCTAGTGAAGAATGAGGACCTTTACTCGGGAGGACTGATGCTTGTTATAAGAAGTTAAAATAATTCTATAAATTTAATTGATTAGCAAAAAATAGTCATCCCGGAGAAACCTGACCTACCTTCCTACAGTTTTAAAATCATACTCTAGAGTAACTGCTGAAATGCAAGTACAAAATACCTCTGCATGTTATCACATTGCTTTTGTTGCTGTGGTCCATAAGAAGAAAATTGCAGTGAGTGCTAGTTTATAGTTACAGGGATTAAGATTACTTTTTTTTCTCCTGAACCATCTAATCTTGTATTGACCCATGCAGCAGGTTCTTGCATTCATATATGACCTATGTGACCTTTGCCTTGGTACTGGTGCTGATGGACTATAATTCTATAATTTGATTAGCAGTTGCATCTGGTAGCAATTGGGCTTTATTAACACATCTTTATTTCATTTTGTTAAATTTTTGAAAGGCCTCCTAGATAATAAAAAAACTCTGCACACACTCAGGCAGACCTCTCTAAGATGGAAAGATGATCTAAACCCGGAAGGGTGAAATTCACTAAACTGCAATCTTGCATTTAATATACAAGGCAGGATATGACTCCTTTGTTATAAAAGGAAAAAAAAAAAAAAGGTCATTCTTTCAGCCTGGATGACCTAATGATGTTGGTGCTACTACAGAATGATTCATAATCTGCTTTGGTTTAACACGAAGTGGTTAGTAGAGTAATCATTTTGTTTATGGACAAGTGAAGTCTCAGGAAGAATATGAGATTTCTTTGGGGGGCAACAAAGAAAGATACAAAAAAAAACCAACCAACCCTCTAGAAATTCTGGAGGATGATATCAGGAATGGTCAGATGGCTAAAAAATACGAATTCTGTGAGAATAAGGAGGTTGTATCTGGACTACAACAGAAAGTAAAGCTGACATACTGTGACTTTTATTGTAAGTTATGGAAGAAGATGGACATCTGCTTGTTTTAATTTTCTTGTTGTGCATATCTAATAGAAAAAGAACAAGAAAATGCAAATTTGATTTCTGCAGAGATTTAGACCTGATTGTGGAGATTGTTAAACAGACTTGTTGTGCAGTCTGTAGCCTGTTCCTAATGAAATCCCCAGTGAAAGAAACTGCTGCTGGAGGTGAGCTAGGTGAACTCAATTCCGTGTCAGTGTTCTGAGCTAGGCTATGAGATTTCAAGAAGTTTTTTTAGTACACTGCTTCCATGGCGAAAGAACTAAAAAAACAAGCCCTGGAAAGGCAGACCTGGAGCATGAAGTCAGAGGAAAGGTACTTCTGTCTTCTGTCATGTGAAGGATTTTGCTACTCCTCCTCTCAAAAAAATCAGGAGAGGGCTGTGTTAGGTTCACACTAAGGGATGTGTGTGTATTCTCTGTTGGTGTTCTGGTGAATCCAACGGTTGACTGGTTGATCTGCAAAGGAAGCTTAGTAAGCTGCACAGATCAGAATGAAAACAGTGAAGGCAGAGTGAACACTGAGTGTGTATACACACTTCAAAGGTATGGGACTGCCTATAATAACTTGCACATACTTGGCTGTCCTAATTTCACTTTTTAGCTGTGGCTGCTGTCCTTGTGTCACAGGCGGCCTTGTGAAAGGAATATGAGGTTTGGAGAAGGAAGTTTTGGACTGCATTCGTGCTCGGTCCTCATATGTTGCCTGGTCTAGTCGAGAGGTGGTGTCCCTGCCCAAAACAGGGAGGTTGGACTAGATGATCTCTAAGGTCCCTTCCAGCCTAGGCCATTCTATGATGTCCTGGCCTGAGATGTGACATATTTTTCGTTGAGGATTACATCTATGCCTAGGTTGACAGCTGAATTGCAAGCTGTTAATCAAAATTGAAAAGCATCTGATAATACTCTTTATGCCTGGAAAAAGTGGGATGTAGTTTTAAAAACTGTTTGTTTTCTTTTTGACTTGAAGAAGAGAACAGTGTATAAACTGGGAAAAGAGCTTTCCCAGAACTAGGCGTGAGAAACTTAGTTGCAGATAATTTTCTGGGAAAGTTATTAAACTTCAAAACTAAATCCAGTGTGAAAGCTCTTTCTGTGTCATAACTATTACTGTTGCTATTATTGGGGATTGAATGCATCATTGTGTTTGTGGTGATTTGATTGGGTTTTGATTTTTAACACATTACTGCTCTTAATTGATGCAATCTGCATGTTAGTATTTTCTGACTTTATCAAGGGACTGCTAAAAAGAGACTGCTCTCAAAAGAATTACAGCAGCGTAAAATGGTGAATATTAAAAATGTGCAAATTGTATGTGGTGAGATGAGAAGTTGTTTTGCTCTAGTTCTAATACGTGTTTAAATACTTATTTTGGGGGAAAAAAACCCAAGTTTTTTTGTGATTGGTAGAGCAACCCATGGTGCCCTGTTCTGTGAAGCAAAGTCTTCTGGTGGGAAAGGCAGAAAGAAATGCTGATGAGGAAAATAAACTCCAGCAACGTTGTTGGAGTCTTTTCCCTTCTCTATTTTCAGCTTCTTTAAGCAAATATGAGGGAGAGCATCTTGCTGCTCTTAGTTAAACCATATGTTGCTGAAGTATTAAGGCCTCTCTTCCCTCCCTTTCCCCAACCTCCCCAGGAACTCGTCTGCTCTGCTGTTGATACTATTATTAATAGCAATGGTTTTACTACAGTGTTTTTGTAGCAGCTATAATTAAGATCAGATCTCCATTGTGTCTGTGAGCTTACACATAGGGAGAACATATTGCATCTTGGAAGGCTGAAAAGCTTAGCTTGAAAGCAGTAGATGAAGAAGCATGCAAAATTCAGCTTGAGGCAGAGATGAAGCGTGGGTGATAATGTCTGACCAACCTGTGGGGGCTCTTACCTTGTTTCAAATTGTATAATATATTCTTCCTGCTTTTGTCTTCAGAAAAGGCTGGAAAATGGGAAGATTGTGGAGAAAGGATGGTGGCATAGAAGACAGTCATGAGTCGTTAAAAATAAAATGAAAAATCCGCTATTTCTATAATTTGTCAGTGCCTGTTCTACCTCTGTGGGACTTCAGGAGTGCTGTGCTTGGAGGCCTGTTCACGTAACGTTTTTTAAGTTGGGCTTCACTTCTCTGGAGATGGTCCCCTTCAAGCAGCTTGCATATTTTCTTTCTTCCTCTGTTCAGTTCAGATCTGCTTGGAATATAATCTTTTCACATAGTAGTTTTGGTTAGTTTTTTTTTGTTGTTGCCTGCCATGATGCTAAAGTAATAGGGAAGCAGAGAAAACCTTTTATGATATCAAGATTTGCTAGTGTGATGTCTTGGGAACTGTAGTTGCTGATGTTGTAGCAAACAGACATGAGGATGCTACAGTTGAGACTCTTAGAAAAGTAAGGAGACTGCTGTGATTCTGCCCAGGTTTTTGAGGAATCCAAGGATACAGGTGACTGCTGACTGAAGTCTGAAGTCTCTCTAGTCCTGACTTACCTGAGAAGACATACTTTATGAGTTCGAGGGAAACATTGTAGATGTTTGTTGTTGTAATAATTATACTGTTTTAAATTAAGTGACTTTTCAGAAAATCAATAATTAATGCTATTTGGATCAAGTCCATTCTATTCTCTGATGTGTATAAATAAAACATTTTAAGAATCTTAAGTAAAAATAAAGAAACTTAAAGTGATCTCTTAGAAGCTGCTTTTATTGGTAGCGAAAGATTACCACTGCATTTTTGGGGTGAAGTCCTCCATTTATGCAATATTTTTGGAAAGTTTCTCAATTTGTGGAGCCGTTTTATATTCTGCAAGAAGCTTTATCATGCTCGATGTCTCACTTGAATTTTAATTTTAGTTTGCCAAGCTGTTTACATTACAGCATACCTCAAATAACAACTTGATGAAAAGCTTTTTTCAAGGAATTACTTATAAACTCGATTAATACAGCTAGTAGGTATACATAGAAAATAGAATCACAGAATTGTTTAGGCTGGAAAAGACCTTTAAGATCAAGTCCAACCATTGACCTAGCAATGCCAGGTCTACCACTAAACCATGTCGCTAAGCTCCACATCTGCACCTCTTCTAAATACCTCCAGAGATGGGTATTCAACCACTTCCCTGGGCAGCCTGTTCCAATGCTTGACAATGCTTTCAGTTAAGAAATTTTTCCTATTATCCCATCTAAAACTCCTCCTGGTCCTTTCGCTTTTTACTTGGGAGAAGAGACTGACCCCCACCTCGCTGCAACTTCCTTACAGGTAGGTGGGGAGAGCAATCCCCTCAGCCTCCTTTTCTCCAGACTAAAGAGCCCCAGTTCCCTCAGCTGCTTCTCATAAGACTTATTCTCAAGTCCCTTCACCAACTTCATTGCTCTTCTCTGAACATGCTCCAGCACCTCAATGTCTTTCTTGTAGGGAGGGGCCCAGAACTGCACATAGAATTCAAGGTGCAGCCTCACCAGCACTGAGTACAGAGTGACAATCCCTGCCCTGGTCCTGCTTGCCACGCTATTCCTGATACAGGCCAGGATGCTGTTGGCCTTAGCCACCTGGGCACACTGCTGGCTCTGCCTTTCATAAACCCACGCTGACTGGGGCTGATCACCTGGCTGCCCTGGATGTGCCATGTGATGGCACTCAAGATGATCTGCTCCATAACCATCCCTGGCACTGAGGTCAGGCTGACAGGCATGCAGTTCCCTGGATCCTCCTTCTGGCCCTTTTTGTGGGTGGGTGTCACATTTGCTAAACTCCAGTCCATGGGGACCTCCCTAGTTAGCCAGGACTGCTAGCAAATGATGGCAAGTGGCTTGGTGAGCACTTCTACCAACTCCCTCCGTACCC